TATAATTTTATAAATATATAAATATAATATAATATATAATAATATATATTATATAATATAAAATATATATATATATATATATAAATATTATTTATTCTTCATAATAATACAAAATTAAATATTAATATTTATTAGAAAATAAATTAAAAACATTTTTAATTTATTTGTAAATAATAAAATAGTAATAGATAAAGAATAGAATAATAATAATAAATAATAGTTTTTTAATCATATGTCAAAGTAAATAGTCAATCTACTATATAAAAATCCAATATATGTGACATTACGAAAAGTTACCAGATACAGTCTGCTATATCTTTCTGTCAAAGTAAGGCAACGCGTTCTGTAATGAATTTGTGTAATGAGCAAGAAAAGTGAACGGATAAATGTGGCGTAAAATGGCTTTACCAGGGTTTTTCGTTTAAAATACTTAAAATAATGTAACATATGCAGGTAAAAAGTACCAATATATTAAGATTTCAATATGATATGATTTCTAGTTTATATAAAAATTTAAAATATTAATAAATTATTTCCTTTGAAATTATATCATAAATTATTTATTTGTTTATTATTTTAATTAAATATAGCAAATTTTTTTTTATATTTAATGATAATGATTTTAAATGACATTAATTTCAAATACCAAATACAGAATATTACATGACTTGCGATAGTTGTACCGTAAACTGATATACATTCGAATATTTATTATATATACATTAAATTAAAAAATTTTTTTAATATTGTTTATTATCGTAAGTTTTTGAAAAAAAATAAAAATTAAATTATATTTTATATAAGAAATTGTATTAAATATAGTTTTAATTTCACTTGACATACTTTCTTTTCTTTTATTGTTTGTATTGTTATATCAATTTATTATATATAATTATTTATAATTTTATTATTATTTATTTTATTATATAAATTTTGATATATTCCTATTTACAGCAATATAAAAAAATATAATTGATTGGTACTATGTTTTAAAACATGCCCTCTGAGATTAATGTTAAAAATATAGCTTGTGAAAAAGATAATAAAGAAAATGAATCTGAAGAACAATCTGTTACATTATTAACAGTTGGCACAATAAATGAAGGATCTTCAACTACGGTAAATCATGTAGAAACTACTACTATAAAAAGTAGTAATAAAAAATGTAATAAAAAAATATTTATGTCTAGTGTTAAAAATGATTTTATAGAACAAAATGAAAATGCTTCATTGTCATCAGATGTAATCTGTGCATCAAATGAAAATGGTTTACAGCAACAAGAAGCATCTTCTGAAGAAGTAATTAATAAAATAAGTAATATTCAAGAATTGAACTTACAAGAAGAATCAAATGCATGTTGTCAATCAACATGTAATAAAGAAAATATAATTTCTAAACCTGCTAATATAGCAGTATTACCACCAAGATGTGAAACTGATAATATTATTATTGCTCCAAATATATTGAATGATGAAATTATACATAATTCAAATCAGAAACATATATTATTGTCTCATAAAAATTTAACAAGAAAAAAGTGTTTTCTGGCAAGTGTAGATAGTAGTTCTGGAAAGATAAACAGTTTTGTAGAACAATTGCCTTTATCTTCCAAAAACATGATTAGAAAGAAACAATTTTTTAACAAAGATTTGCAATCTAGTAGTACAGAATCGCAATATGAACAAAGTGTAGGAGACAGACATAACAATAATGATGATAATGTCTCACAACAATTTAGTTCTCAATTTCAGAATAAA